ATCTCACTGAAGACAATGGTTGATGTGTCGCTCAATTTCGTGGACTAGTTGGAGTTAGACATTAACACAGTTGAATGCCGGCTCAGTGGTCTAGTGGTTAAGTGCTCGCGCGCGAAACCAGTATGCCCTGTGTTCGAATCTCGCAGGGGGTGTGGTCGTGGGTGCGCACTCCTGAGTGGTTCCACAATAGGACAAAACGGTCGTCCAGTGCTTCCAGGTTTCCCATGGTGGTCTAGCTTCAACTGACTCATGATCTTAACCATTGATATTTAGAACTGATTAGTCAAAATATATAGAGGTATTTTTTTAGTGGTCTTTAGAAATATCATATTATGATTACATCTATGATTAGAAATACTTAATTGCTTCTGAAAAATACTAAAAACAAAAGTAAACTAATTTCCAAAGTGTAGAATAAGAATCTTTTGTTACCGTAATAGTCAGATATTAGTATCATTCGAGTGTGAAATAAATCACACATTTTACTTTTTATAATAACAAATGAATACGAACTAATTTGCTGGTCAGAACGTTCGTATTTTAAAGTGTGAAGAATTGTATCAACAGCTGAACCCGGGCTTCGTGCTACAGGTACACCTTGCTGACGAGTGCCAAGTAGCACGAAACCCGTGTTCAGGGTTTCCAGTTGACTACCTCCAACCACCATCTAATTCATTTTCATCATTTACTAAATCTCATATAGTAAAATAAATCACGGAAATAAGTAGTTAAGTAAAACACGTATAGCCTTTCAAATTGTTTTTATTCCTTGAGTTGATCTTTTAATAGTCCTTTTATGCTGACAAAGCTGTCATTAACACAAATATCTGTGTGGTCAATGGTTGTACACGCGCAGCATGCATATGTAATAAAACTCATTAAATTCATAATATTTCTTTTTTTAGAAGATGAACGTTGCCTTCTGACGTGCATGACACAATTCGGTTTTTATACACAAACTGTTCTATTGAGTTCAAAGATATTTGAATGGATTATATATAAAACATAGAGATCATCTTTTGTTTTCTAGTTCACAAAACTGCATGTTGTGTGCTCTACTCTGTACGGTATGGTAGGTACATAATTTCTACAAGTCCAATGGTACAGTGAAACAGACATGAAGCACTTCTTGGCTTTCCAGATGACATTAATTAGTGACTGGAATTAATTTCAGAATATATATTTTATGAGAGTCGTTCCATCGATATATCATGCAATAAAATGGATACATTTTATGCTGATCGTTTCAGTCAATTCATACAACTTGTAATATTCTGTTTGTCTTGTATTTAATCTTCCTATGTGAGCCCAAGGATCAAGTTGTTCTGATAAACTGATAGCATTAATCTGTGGAACTGATATAATGAAAACTAAGTTTTTAGAACTTTTAGGCGTTAATTATACGTTGATCTGATCTCAAATTTGTTAATTACCAGTGCAAACATCGTCTGCTAGGTTATTTTGAATGTGCACTTTATTCTGAACGTTGAAACCTATTCCTCGTTCATTAGAAAAAGGATTGTTTTCGCTGTATCCCGGATGTTCTATATGTGTGCATATGACGTTTTAATATTCCTCGCTGAAATATTGGGCGTAAATTCTGAAAAGGGTAAAAGCAATTACTTCTTAGTCAACCTGATGACACGTCGGATTTGAGTCACTGAGAAATAACGATTATCACAAACATCTTTCAGCATAAATGTCATTCAAGATTTTCTACCACTGAAAACTTATCTAGACTGAGAATTAAAATTTTCTTAAACATCCCAGTTTGTGTCTTTGTTACTGGTATCAATTTGGTTAAGATATCACCTTATTACGTAAACTAAGAAGTATTGATTGTCTGATTTCCTAAATTCATTTGTTTACTGTCGTTGTTGATTGTCAAGTGCTAAACCATACTTAACATTGTTCCTTTGACAGAGTATCTAAGCTTAGTCATATGGGTTACTATATTGTTACTATTATCAATTGTGTTTATCGGTTTTTGGTATTCCCCGGTAGTTTACATACTTGAATCGTAATGTTCTAGAATCCTGATAATGAAATTGTGGTTTCCGAACACTGGATAAACTTACACAGAGAAAATCATTAAAGTAACTCTTCATCTTCTGGTCCTACCTATTGGTAGAATTTTCAGCTGTGAAAGACTACTAAGGAAGTGATGAGAACTACAAAGGAACCTGAAGAAATATGTACGTGTATATTGATGAGTTTTCACTAGGTCGATGTAATCTCACACCAAAATTTATATGATATCACTACTTGCACATCAGTTATAGCAAGAAACAGGCATAACGGAAAATAGGTAGTCATTCAACTGAGAGCCGTTTTGAATTTTCCTTTCGGTTGGAGGTTAAATGAACACACTATAGTAGAATGAAGGACGCTTTCTTTATCTCATACGTTATATACCGATTAGCTAAACATATGTAGTACTCATCAATTGTGAAAATCAAGTAGTTTCATATCTACAATTATTAATTGTCCATCAGAATGATTCAACATGTTACATTGCTACAATCTTATTTGGAAACATGTTTCCAGTAAAATAACTAGTTTCCTACTTTAAGTGAACTATTACTACATTAAATCACCTAAGGAAATTAACAAAGTGTCAATAATTACTATTTACTATACTCAATAGGTATGTATTAAAATTACTTTAAGCATTTTATGTGTTCTATACTTGTTACTCTATATATGCTTGTTAGTTTCACAACGAAGTAAAATAGACTCATTAAAATCAATAAATCAGATTTTATTAAGTTTGCCAAATACGTTCACATAAACCAATTGACATGTGGAATGTAAAAGTTGTTTTTTTAAAAAAAAATTTATTGAAAGTAAATAATTTATGAAACAAAGTTTTGCAATCTGAGACACACAATTTGAATTATACTAAATTGTTGATTATAAACATATATACAGCTAGTAATACTAAATAGAGTACTAGTGATTATGTCATGTGTAGTCAATGATGAATTAATTGAACAGTGTGAAAGTGAATTATATTCAACTGACTGATATATGATTCAGATTTCTTTTAGTAATATTTATTGAAGATAGCGATTAAATCTAAGTTGATAATAAAACGAATTAGATCTATGGTTATGATCAGAAAGCTTGTTGTTAAACTTAACAATATTCTAAGATTTAAAGTTTTGTCTAAGTGTAAATTGTACTTTACTAGAATGTTTTTGTTTTGAACTCATTACATGTTATTCAGTATTTCAAGAAAAATATAAAATAATAGAGAAGAAACAACGTCTTTACTTGTAATAGTTTTATACATTGTAGATCACAAAAGTTTTTTATTGATCCTGGTTTAATGTTGTTCATTTATGTTATTATCTGATGAAAACATATAGAAATAGTGTTAATGAATTCCAAAATAAAATCCAATCAAATATAATACAAGAAATATAAATCAATTAAACTTTCAAATAAATCTCACCTATTCAGAAAACAAAGTCAATTGCTTGTTATTAGGTTCATGAAATAAGTAATATCTACATAACTAACTATGAAGCCACAGAATCGTCATTATAAGCAGTAGGAGTCTATCATGTTAGATTATTATTATTATTATTATTATTATTATTATTATTATTATTATTATTAGCTTTATTCAGTATTATATTTTTGGTACAAAATAGAATTTTCAGCGTAAAGTATTTCAACAAGTTTCCGTTTCTTTCTTCTTGGTCGGTCCTGGTGATAAATATCGAGTGATCGCCAGTTAGATGTTAGCAGTTCATTAAATGAACATCTGAATAATGTGCATTCTTTTCACTGTATATTGCCAGCAACCACATTGTCTCTTATTGAGTTTTTTGTAACTTTGACAACGAAAAGTTGTACACTTTTCAGAAACGCAGCAGAATAGGTTATGCGATTAATAAACATAATGATATATTAAAACAAACAAAAATAGATAACTTGTTGAAATGTCTAGATGGCAGGAACAGGTAACCCAGATGCTCAAGCAGGCCGCCTTAGATGAGTTCTACATACTAAACTAATTACTTTCTCTAGAATTCTCATAAGCCTGGTAACAGAATGTACAAAATGAGAAATAAGAGTAATACATGAATTCGTAAAATTCATAATTATTATGCACAGTAATGTTTATGAAAACAAAAATAGTAATCTGAACTTTTTATTCAAACTATCCATCAATAAAATCATTGGTTCAAACAAATCAAACGATAAGTATCATACAAGAAAAATGTATTGAGATTACGATTATGAAATTATTACATTTCGGGAGCTTTTTAAAAGATATCTCACAAGTATAACAACATTTGTAAACGCTTATGACAGATGAACTATCTGTGAAACTAGTTTTGGTTACGATAGTAATGCTAATAATAAACAATAAAGAATTCTGATTACAATTCATTGATATTCACAAGTTGAAAATAACGTAAACACATAATTATGGTTGATCACACCTGTTGTTTCACCCGTAAATCTAATTTAAAAATGGTCTTAGTCTATGAATTAAATTAACGATAAACTATCTGAGTTTTAGTCCGCATTTTCAATCCCATTTAAATACACCAATACTTTTAGTCGATAATTTAATCCCGATCAGAGTCCCTTTTATCTTCGGGTTTCACCGGACTTTATTCTTTTAGTAGTTATTTTTTTCAACTATTAACAAAATATATTTCTAAGTTTGGTTAACCGTGCAAAAGCTATCACAAGTTTGTCTCTAAGTTCATTACCAATAATTAATTAACGATAATAACAATTATTATCCACTCAGAATAATGTATGGTGACCAATCATATTATTCATTTCTGTCTGTATAAATAGATGCATTTAGATTTGCTTTCAGTAATACCCTAAGTTTCAAATCCACAGTTAATTGATTCAGCAAGTAAGTAGTCAAGATCTATTTATTTAATTGATTCTTATCAAATGTGATAGTTTCTTGTTTTCTTTTAGCTGTGTATTCATATTTATTGTACCATTTATTTTTCTACATAGATTAATTGAATATTCGATATGGAGTAAGTGGTTAATTTTTACTTTTCTATAATACTTTGTTTCACCTGACACCAAAAAATTGATATCCTTATGAACTTAAAAAAACATTATTAAAAACGTAAATAATTTTAAATTTATTCAGAGTTGTTCCATATAATGAAATGGTAACTACCGCAAATGTGACCTTTACACAATTGACAACGTTCATATACTTCATCTCTTGTGACTAGTTATTGTTCATTTGAAAAATACATTAAACTACAATGTCTGCTATCGACATAGTTTACTTAATAAATATTTTACCCTGTGCATAGACTGTTAATATGCGGAAGCATTGTCGCATTGTTACTATGGTTCTTGAAGCTATTCATTGAAAGTGTTTGTTTTTCAAACACATTCAGAGCCAAATAACAGGTCTTGTACATGGCGCTATTTACTCATCATATTCACCCAAGTTGGTAATTTCATTTCTCGTTCCTCAGACTTTACCGACCAACAAAATGCATGTCAAATTTTTTAGATAGTAGGGACGTCGCTCAGGTATACTGAAGACTCAATAGACGTATGAAAGTATGAATGAGTTTTAAAATATCGCATTACGTATACCTTTAGATATTCACTGCTTACTTTTACTGCACTCTGGTCGCTAAAATGAACTTTTATGCAAAAATTTAAACTATAAAGAAACAATAATTATTTAATCACAAAATGCTCACCAAAAGCTATGTTTTACTCCAACAGATTCACTACCAAAAGTTAACATATATGTGAGATATACAATAAATATCAGATTTGACTTAGCAGTTGTTGAAACTTGTCTAAGAGTTATCACCACTCAATATTAATAAATCTAAAAAAAATGGATACGAAACTGTTTACTACTTACTCATTATTTTTAATAATCCACTGATAAAACTGTAGTAAAAACCACCGTCAGAATTTCATATAAAACAACTGACATTAATTTAATATGAATATAATTTTCCTTTAATTTCTGTTTTATTAGAGAATTGGAGGTCAAAGAGATGTTCTGTATGATTGATAAGAAACAACGTGGTAGAATCACTTGTAAACAATTAAGAAAATTTCTAAGGAGACATGACGCTAAATTCAGTAAGAAATCTGTAAGAAATTACGTCAAGTCAATAGACAGTGATGGGGATGGTAAATTAACATTGGATGACTTTATAAGAGCGCTTACCAAATGTGATCATACAAAATAAATTATATTAAATGTGATTTCATTCTGATAAAGAAAAAGAAAAATAAGTATAAAATGTAAGGAAAAATTAACCTACTTAATAAAATCAAACACTTTATTACTACTTATCCTTCTGCTATTCCTCTGAATTAGTATGGCTTTATGGAATTACATAATAAACAAAATATCTATATAAACATATTAATCTGCATATCACCATAATAAATAGTGTACATGTTTGCTTGTGAAAAGAATGAATTCAATTTTGTTTTACTAAATATTCGAAGATCCAATCTGTTTTCTTTTGTATTTATTGGTTGTTTATTATGTTCAATTTAATATATAATAAATTATTTCTCAATGTTAGTTGAATAGGCTACTTATTAAATTCCATTTGATCTATTAACTTCATTTATCACTTTATAATTGCTGCAACGATGAAAGAAAATATTGATTAGCAGTTAAATTATTATAGTACTGTTATTATGTAACATAATGACTAAAACATTAAGTTCTAGCTTCAACTGACTCATGATTTCAACCTGTGAAATTTCTAAAACTCTCCATAAAACCCATTCTGACATTAAGTTTTATTGAATGGGACTAAGTGCATTAGTTATACGTAGTGTAGTCACTGTAAGCGAAAAACCATTAAAACCTATCTCCAAGTGTCAATAGATATGGATACATTGAATTTCTGATTTCTTTCACTCAAGTCAGTATTCTATGGTTGAAGGTTAGTTTGATCTCTTAAATAAGTAAGAATTAAAGAGCCTTTATACTCGTATATATGATTATTGAGAACCAGATCAGTAACGGAAACGTACTAAAAACATTGATAATAATCAAATGGATAATGAATTATTTAACCTAACTGGAGGAAACGGGATAAAAAGATAGTACTTAAGTTTCGACACAATGGTAATGTATCTATATTCTATTGGGTTCTGTTTATCCCTTATCCACTATATAACCAGTGAAAATATGATTTAGGCAAACAGGAAAATATCACTTAGTGTAGTCCTGTTTTGTTGAAATTATTTATGAAAATACTCAAACAGAAACAATGGAAAACTAAACGATAACCATTTTAATGTTCAAGCAGAACGATACACGTCTCATTTTTTTGCTAGGTAATCTAGTTAACGTGGTGAGGATCTATGGCAGTTTGCATTTTAATGCCAATGTAATTATACGACTATATATTCTGATTGTGTTTTATCGAAGTTCCACTTGTGAAATATTAATTATATTGTACATTTTAGTGATAACTGTACACAATTTTATTCATACTCGTCTCTTCCAAATAAATTCATTAAAAGTCAAGTTTATTGAACGTCCAGTGTTTTTGTATCTCTATCTTCTACATTTACCATCCACATCTGAACTACATACTGGATTACACCAGAGTAGATGAAAAATTGACTAAATTTGTCAACTAATCAACATATAATAGGGTTTCTTGGTTTCAAAGTTCTATTTGTCCTCAGAAAGCTCTTCACGGGTTATAGATTGGACCAAACTCGTAGCGATCTGAAGTGGATTGTTTAAAGTGACGAGACTTGATATATTATCTGATTCACTTTTTATGTACCCTTGCACTATTTCAAATGGCAGTAAATACCTAATTGTACTTTTCTTCACACAACCGTAATTCATGTAACTTGTATTCCACCAACTCTTTTGTAATGAGTCCAACCCCATACTTTTATTCCCGCTCCATTAGGAATAGGTTTAATGATTACTTAAAGTTTGTTATTCCTTGATGCTGTCTTGTGCATTATCTTTTTAGAACTTATCGTGATGTATTTTTATGCTAATCAATTATTGTTTCTCGATAGTGCTAACCAAAAATTATTATACTACCACAGAATGGAATCTATCTATTGTTGGATTAAATAAATGACGCATTTCATATGACATTCCATATATGGCAGCATGGACGTACAGCTGATGAACTGTGCTAATTGACTGAATGATATTTGAATCAAAATCACCTTTATAGTAATAAGTCATACTCTCGAGGAATAGATGTAAGGAAAGTTTGAAACAGCTTCTATTTGCGGAAATCAGTTTATTAACCTGTATTAGTTAATAACTGTACGTCAACCTAGTGAATGTGAATGTATCAGACACTTAGACACACTCGTTATTTAATGAATATTGAAGTGACATTTTAAATATTAATATCCTTCGAAACAAATGAAACAAGTAATCTAACTTTAATTGACATAAGTTTGGATGGTAGAAGCTTATCCTGGCTGTAAACCTTGTACTTAATAGATTCGAGCAAAAGTTATCAGCAATTTTCCGACTGAAGGTCTCTTGATTTCAATTAACCAACTCAAATGGCAATCATGACTAACTAACTTAAAACCAGAATTCTAAAGATAATTCTTACTAATTTAATGGAACTGGTTTGTGGTAGGTTAACAAAATGACACCAACCGGTTTAGTATTATTTACATAAATAGCTAAAATTACCTTAATTTCGTATTTCTTTAAAGATTTTGAACCCAAAGAGAGGTAGAAATTCTAAAGACTACGTCTGATAAACCTGGTTTAACTTCAGACTCCTGTATTATTGTGTATTATTTTATTTTTACTTGACCACTGAAATACTATTTAATCAAGAGTGAAATTAGCATTCTTCAGAGTATTCGTGCTTCAAAACATGAAACTTCACCTTCATTTCTTATTGGTCTTCATTAGTGTAAATATGCGATATGGTAAAGTTGGTATTTATTTCACAAATACACTTTCCAAAATTTAATGCATACAAAACTAGCAGTGATTGTAACATAAAAGGTCGCTTTAAAACAGATATAACATCGGAACAGCTAGATTGTTTAATGAAATATTCATTAGAACCAATTTGATATCATGACTGTGCTTACTAAACATAACGTAATATAACTCAATGTAAATTATTTGAAAAGAAGTTCCTAGGAAGTAGTTATTTTCTCGTGCTTAAATACCTTAGCAAATAACTACCTTTCTCAGGTTACTAAAGCTTATCTATTGCAAATTACCAACTGGTCATGAACAAGTACCTTAGTGATAGTTAGCGTCTTAATCTGCCATATATATGCCCCCATGCAAGGCAAACATAAATCTAAGTGTCTTATCAATAAGTTCATGTCAAGTTTGTGATGCTTTTGGTGTCCGAAACAACTGCAATGAGTTACTTTAATAGTAAAATAAGAAACACTTTTTGATGCGATTAATGAGTTGCGAGATTTCCTGATTTCGTGTTTCGACATTTAGTTTCGAAGGATATTAATAACAAAAGCTCACAGAATACTGGAAACATGTATATTGAATCGTAGTAAGCGAGTTTTATCTGTTGCTTAAAAAATTAAGAAGATAGCAAAATTGAAGATATCCAACTTTTGAGTTGAACATGAAAAATAAATTTACATAAACAAAACTCCGTTACAAAACATGGGTAACATTTACGGATTCGACAGTTCGATCTCTTTTTATTGTATTCACGTTTGATTTAGTAGAATAACAAACTGGAAAAAACCATAACGACTATGACAAAGTGATACTGGACAACTGTAGTATCATTATTTTTTATCAAGTAATATTTGAGAATTCGGAAAAATACCAGTAACAATGATGTTTATAATAGTGTAAGTGATCATAATTGTGTGAAAATTATTAATAACTGAATCACTATTAAGGAATGAATTCATGAAACTGATGTTTTGAGTATAGATAATAAAACATAAATGTTCATTTGATAGGGTTAGAAAACTCTCATCTCCGCAAAGATGACTACTGCACATACAGATAAACACTCTTGTTTAAAAGCTGAGCTATGAGCAACGAATTCCAACTTTTCTGCAGTTAAAATATATTTAATAATAGTGAAAACTATGATTTCTTTTTAATTGAACAGATAAGTGTCCTTAAGAAACCTTGGTCTTCATGCAGTTTGGGCGTTGATTAACCACATGAAGAAGTAATCTAATGATATGGAGAATTTCGTACTATAATGATTACTTTCATCTTATTTTCTTATTTTTGCTACATGAAATAAAGGTGAACATTCTCATTAACAACGAAAATTGTATAGTTTACGTGTAAGTAAAATGAGTCAGTCAGAGGTGTATACTGAACTATGGTTTGGAATGGATTTATTAAAGGAAGACCCACTGGTTAAATCACTGGTTACTTCATCTGTCTTCTCTGATAAACTCACAAGCAAACAACATACTTACTTACGCCTGTTACTCCTCGTGGAGGTGTATAGGCCGCCCATCAGCATTCTACATCCAACACTGTCCTGGTCAATCCTTTGCAGTTGTTTCCAGTTGCAAACAAAGTCGAGCATATAAAGTTCATTTTAAAATATTTATGCTGTTTTAAAGCATCCGTTTTTATACTATTATTTTCGATGTTGTTACATAGAAACTGTTAAGTTATGCAAAAGATTAACATTTAGATTAGTTAGTATCAATGATATAATTACTGAAGTTAGCTGTCTAACTATTCCCATTCTGATTTTAACATCTTAAAAATCATTTTATCACTGTTTACCTTCATTTAAAACTAATTCAAGCATAAGAAATAGTTCTTTGTTTGTCACATCAATTATTCCAGTCTTGGGTTATCCATTCAACTTGTTTTGGAAGACATTTACATATTGTTTTATTTTCTTCTCTGACAATTAGTCTGCTTGGTTGTCAAGTGAAAAATACAGATGAATCAACAACTTAATTCGTGAATTCCTTTTACATTATGATAAGTACGTGATACAACAGGCAAAAATGAACACGTTTATTCACGCAAATTCTGTGTACTAACGAATAACTAGTGACATAATGACTGAATGCGAAAAGAAATAAGGTTTGCAGTACGATTCAAACCAAAGGCCTACAGGAACGAGATAGCAGCAGGATTATTAGAAGAAAGATTTGAGAACGGAATGTATTAGCATGTAAATTTATTTTGTAGAAATTATAAGTATCTAAATAATAGTCTTAGAAAATTATGGATTGAGAAAATATAGAT